GGAGACTTTAAACCCAGCAAAACTTAGACCCTTTCGTATTTGTCATCCTTGAGAGCCTAGATGCCTGCACAATGTCTGGCATATAGTAGGTGCTTAGTATTTATTAAATGAATAAATGAAAGTATTTATTCAGCAAGCATGAGTATCCTCCATGTTTGTATTGTTTATATTTATAAATATATTTACAAAGCATGAATGCCTAGTTATATTATGTATTCATTGTGTGCTTGCTTTATGCCAGGACAGTGTGTGTGCTGGGCACTGAGGTACACAAAGATGAAAAGATAGAGTCCCAGTCTGGATGCAGTGGCTAATGCCTGTAATCCTAGTATTCTGAGAGGCTGGAATAGGACCCTTTAGGAGGGTCATTTGAGCTAAGGAGTTTGAGACTAGTCTGAGCAAGAGTGAGACTCTGTCTCTACTAAAAATTGAAAAATTAGCCCGGCTTTGTGCTGTGCACCTGTATTCCCAGTTACTTGGGAGGCTGAGGCAGGAGGATCGCTTAGACCCAGGATTTTGATATTTCTGTGAGCTAGGCTTATGCCACAGCATTCTAGCCTGGGCAACAGAGTGAGATGCTCTCTTAAAAAAAAAAAAAGATAAAGTAAGATACAGTCCCTTTCTTTGAAGTGCTCACAGCCTAGTGAAAGGACAGAATGCTACCTCTTGTCATAATGGAAGGAAATATGAAGCACACAAGGAACTCTCAAGTCTGCCAAAGGAAGCCAAAAGAGCTAACTTTCCAGAGACAATGACAAGCAGAAATCTTAAGAGAGTGGGAATCTGGAGAGGGTATCTCAGGCAGATTGAATAACATGTGCAAAAACTTGGTAGTTTTCAAAAACAACTCATGCTAGATGGTGTTGGAGTGTAGATTGCATCAGGAGAATGGCCGGAGGGGCAGGCTTTGCTAGGCTGAGAGATTTGAATATTATCTTTGAAGTAACCCTGTAAGAAAACAGGGTAGATATTGTTGTTATTCTTTTTTGGGTGAGGAAACTTAGGTTCAGGATCCATGTAGAGTAAGTGACTTCGGTGGTTGGAATTCAGTTCTCATTCCCACTTCTGTCTATCCGGCTGTAAGGTTGGTGCTTATTAGATTAGTGGTTAACAAGTGTTGAGGGTGGTCTGATACTGAAAGGTTCACAGGTGAAGGGGGGAGAGATAAACTCAGGACTTGCTTCCTGGCAACTATATGTTCTTCTCTTCCTTCCCTGGGCTGTAGGTCCAGCAGTTCCTGAGGCTAGCCCAGCGGGGGACAGAGGAAAAGGACAGAGAGAGGGCTTTAGTCAGCCTTCGTCGAGGCTTGCAGCACCCTGAGACACAGCAAAACTTCATCCGGTCAGTGTGGGTGGTGTGAGTGGATGGCTGGGGGTCTGAGGGATGCACTGCAGGCTAAGCAGAGCTCTGGTGCTCAACTCATGTAGGCTGGAAGGCAGCATGCGGACCCTGGTGGGGCTCCTGACCAGTAACCATGCTCTGCTACAGCTTGAGGCGGCTCGGTGCCTGCATGAGCTCTCTCATTCTGAGCAGTCTGCAGTGGCTGAGGCCTGCCTGCCAGCCACTTCTTACCTCCTCACCTACCTCTCCGGTCACAGCTCAGACTTCATAGTAAGTCCTGTCTCTTCCTACCGTGTTCTTTGTTTAGCTGAAAAAATTGTGCTCTAGGGTCCAACTTGAGCTGGCAGGTATGGAAAAGAAGAAAACCTGTTTCCTCCGTGCCCACAGCCATGCATGCATACATGCCTTATCTCCCCACCCTCTCCTAAAGCTCAAGGACAGAGCCTCTCTATCTCCATCTTCCTCATGCTGTGACCCTCTGTATCCCACTTTCCCAATGAGAGTTGGACCAAGCCCAGTGCTTTTGTTGCCTGCGCTCAGGAGCTGTGTCTGTATACACTGGGTAACCTGATTGTGGAGAGTGAGGCTGTGAGAAGCCAGCTCCTGCCACAGGGCATTGTTCCAGCCATGGCTGCCTGCATCCAGGTGAGTGCTTCCTGCCTCCCAACCTGGGCAACCCTCTCCTTGTTCTCCATATGCTTCACCTACTTTGGTTAGGTAGCTCCATCCTCTGTGCCAAGGGGCTGAATGAATGTCTCAGACTTTATGACCCAGCATCTAGAATCAGATCTTTCCATTGTCTACTTTTAGTCCCCCCATGTGGCTGTGCTGGAAGCCCTTGGATATGCTTTGTCGCAGCTTTTACAGGCTAAGGAAGCTCCAGAGAAGATCATTCCGTAAGTGAAACTGTGTCTGCAGATATACAGCCAGAGGTCACCCACTCAATTGTATAAACCGTAGATGCCTTGATGTCTGATTTCCATAGCTGTTGCACATTTAACTCCATGTGTCTGGCCAGGAAGAGCTTTGGATTTGGGCATTTTGCTACCTATTATCAAGGTTTGGGAAGAGCCACTGGCATCTTTGTGGTTCCTACTTACAGTCCTGCTTCTGCCAGCAGCTCCATTCTGGGCTCTACTCTCCCTCAGCACATGCTGCAGTTGTTGCAACCTGGTCCAAAGTTGAACCCTGGGGTGGCTGTGGAGTTTGCCTGGTGTCTTCACTATATCACCTGCAGGTAACACAGGCCAGTTGTGAAAGTGCGATAGACCTTCCCTGGGGTTCCTTTCCATGACACTCAAGTCTTTGAACTTCAGTTTTTGGTATTGCTATAGTGAGTTTTTATCCCTCCGTGGTCCTTCCTCTTTTTGGAGTTCAGGAGACCACAGACCTAGGCTGTTTGTCAGTTTAAAGATAGAATTGTACAGTGGCTGCTTGCTTTCCATTGCCAGCCAGGTCAACAATGCCCTGCTCATCACCCATGGGGCACTGTCCACTCTGGGGCTTCTGCTGTTGTACTTGGCTGGGGATATCCAGAGAACTGAGGATGCAGGACTGGAACTGGTAGGTGAAGAGCACAAGTCAAAGTCTGGGAGATTGTTTCTTCATAATCTGCCCTTTCTCTTCAACTTACATCTGACCCCCAATTTGCCTTTGTAGCTGGCATGCCCTGTGCTTCGGTGTATAAGCAACCTGCTAACAGAAGCAGTAGTGGAGACTATGGGAGAGCAAATGCAACTCAGAGATGAACGTGTTATGGCAGCCTTATTTGTCCTTTTGCAGTTCTTCCTCCAGAAACAGCCCAGCCTGCTCCCTGAGGGCCTCTGGCTCCTCAACAACCTTACTGGTTAGATTTTGGGGATATTTCCTCATGGCTTAGGCAGAGGTGGATGGGACTGGTAGGGGAGCAGTTCAGGCTCCAGTTAAGATACTTCTCTTTCAGCAAACAGTCCTAGTTTCTGTACGTCCTTGCTCTCCCTGGATCTGATTGAGCCCCTCTTGCAGCTGTTGCCAGTTTCTAATGTGGTGAGCGTAATGGTATGTATTGGGTTTGCTTAAGTCTGACACCTGGTGGTAAGACTTTAAAGGGGGAGCAGTCCTGAGCCCCAAAAGTACCCTTAGTTGAGAGCTAGCAGGTGGTATGGTATCTTGTGGTGTCAGACCAGTCTAGGTATGAGTCCCTAAACTGGATTACTGGCTACTATCGTTGGGCAAGTTAACAAATCATCTTAAGCTTCAGTCTTCTCATTTACAATTGGGGATAATTCTACCTTAGAGGGCAGTTGTGGGGATTATAGAACATGCATATAAAAGAGCTTTGCACTGTGCCTGTGCATGTATGTGGTCAGCATTCTGTATATTTTAGCTATCATGATCTTTGGTTTTCATCCTTTGTGGAGACTATATACTTATCTATCTGTAGGTCCTCACAGTTCTGTGCAATGTTGCAGAGAAAGGTCCTGCTTACTGCCAGCAGCTGTGGCGAGGGCCCCTGCTGCCCTCTTTGTTGAACATGCTGGCTGTTTCAGACACTGAAGTAGTGGGCCAGAGTTTGGAGCTGCTGCACCTGCTCTTCCTTTATCAGCCAGAGGTAGGTTTATGGCCCTGGTCTCCAACTATCCCTGCTCTGAAGCCTCATAATGGCACCCCTCCCCCCCTTCCCATCTAGTCTTAATTATAGTTTCTTCTCTGGATCTGGCTAACCAATATTTGTTCCAGGTTAGAACCTTTATCGTCTGTGGGATAAAAGTGGGCTAACTTATGAAGCTGTGGCAATCAGGTTTCAGGACCCAGGGATACATGTTTTATTTTTATTTATTTACTTTTTTTGAGACAGAGTCTCACTATGTTGCCCTTGGTAGAGTGCCATCACATCACAGTAGCCTCAAACTCTTGGGTTTAAGTGATTCTCTTGCTTCAGCCTCCCAAATAGCTGCCATAACAGCTGGCTATTTTTTTTTTTTTCGTTGCAGTTGTCATTGTTGTTTAGGTGGCCCGGGCTGGGTTTGAACCTACCACCCTTGGTGTTTGTGGCTGGTGCTGTAACCACTGTGCTACAGGCACTGAGTCATGGGATGCATGTTTTAAACCTTTGCTTCCTTGCCCTTAGGCTGTTCAGGCCTTTCTGCAGCAATCAGGGCTGAAGGCCCTGGAAAGGCATCAGGAGGTGGCCCAGCTCCAAGATCGTGTGCATGCTCTGTGGCAGACAGCTCTTCATGGGTGACCTGGCTTCTGAATTTATTCTGCTCCTCTTGGCTCCCATTTCTTTGCCTACTTTCTCTTAGGAGGAGAGCCTTCTGGAGTTTTAGGACCATAATTAGGTCTCATGCTCTCCCATACCAAAAGCCAAGATTGTCAGACCCCAGCTCTTCCTCTTTAACTCATCACTGTTCAGGCAAGGAGGACCAGAAGGGATTCATTGACCTTATTCTGGGGCCCTGGAACCCCACCCCTTACTTTTTTCCCTTCACTAGAGGTAGCTTTTGATGAGACAGAATAAAGTTTTATTTTTATATTAAACTGCTTTGCCTCAGTGGTTGCACATTAAGGGGTCAGGGGTAGAATGAGGACAAGTACACCCTGGAACAACATTTTACGTGCAAGCTTTATAAGGAACAGAACACATCTTTCCATACTGTACTGAGTCCAGCAGAGCCCAGGCTCTGGGGCTGTTGTTTTTAACCCTCAGTGGAGGTTTCAGGCTTTGCCACTTAGCACATTCTCCAGGGCTCTGGTTACCTGATCAGTACTGAAGTTGTTCAATGAGACATTCTTCTCTTGGCCAAATGCTGAGGAGAGAAGGAGGTGACTTACTATTTCTTCTGCACTGTCGAGGCTACCATGGTATAAGAGGTTTTTGTCTTTATCTAACAGTTTTAATTTGGGAAGGATAGTAAAGGGATATGGCCTAAGTATATCTGGAATGCCTAGAATTAATCCAGTAGGTCTCAGACACATATTGGAAGCCCATTTGCAACTAGAATTTCAACTGATTCTAAGTGGCCACAATGAGAAGGAAGGTATTTCAGAAAGCCTTTAAGGAGCACTGTGGGCATTTATTATTAATAGTATAAGCACTATACTGTGTGGGCCTATCCTTGGCTGGGTGCCCATTCTGTGGTCTCCATATGCCATGTAGCATAATACCTAGCACAAAGTAAGTTACTCGTGTTTGTCTTCCCTTGTAATTTACTGGTTTTTGGAAGGAGACCTTTTTCCTCTTCCAGTTATTATTGTGTATCATACTACAGATGCCCACTTTTAGATGCAATCTTCCTTACATGTGACTGTCTCCTGCTCCCTGCCCCCAGATATTCCTAGGGTACAGTATAGTTAAAAAGCTGTTAATTAAAACCCCATTATTTAGTATGTGTAAGGCAGCTGTCCTCAAACTACAGCCTGTGGGCCCCGTGCAGCCCGCCTAGGACATTTATCTGGCCCAATGGGTATTTTTGCCGCTGCTGTCTGTTCTGCTTGGCAGCTGACTCCTCCCGGGGCCGCAGTCTGGCCCTCCAACAGTCTGAGGGAAAGTGAACTGGCCCTCTGTTTAAAAAGTTTGAGGACCCCTGGTGTAAGGTCTTCTTCTAGAGAATGCATAAATACTTATTTCATACCTACAGTGTGTTACAAAATTACAAAAATGTTTCAGATTGCAATATATAGGGAGAGGATAATATAAAAAGGCTCAAGAGGCATTATTACATAACTGGTCAGGGAATGCCTTTTTGAGGTGGCAATATATAAGTTCTGACAATAATAACAACCTGAATAATAACGAAGTGCAAGCTATGGCAGTCTGGGAGAGGTATGGGCATCCTAGGAAAGGGGAACAAAAGTAAAGGAACAAAAGTAAAGGCTTATTATGTATATTCTAGCTGCATTACTTTAGATATGTTCTGTAGGGTATTCAAATCCCTACAATGAGAAAAAAGAATCCATCTCCTCATATAACTGATGATTATTAAATGAGAGTTAGGCAGGAAAGCACTCAGCACAAGGCCTAGCATTGAGTTCTCCATATAATTGAGATTCTCGCTCACTACCTGGACTGACACTGGCTACACGTTATGTGGAAGGTTCCACATTGACGGGAATTAACTAGCATCTCTTCTCTATCTGAAGCCCATTTTGAACTACAAAAATGTCAGCTCCTGGTCCCTACGCAGGATTTGGTCAGCCTCCATGTAGATGCTGCCTCATACAACCGTGCAAATTTAAACTTTGTCATGGCAACAAGGCTAACAGCAAGGCTGAAGTCCAAGTTCTAGTTTCTCCACAGGTTTCTGCAAGACACTGAGAGGTCCCTGCTCTTTTCGAACCCTCGTTCCCCCACCGGAGTCCCAGACCTTGGGCGTCCCGCACTCACCGTAGCGGGCCCAGAGCTTTGGCTGTACGTCGGAGCATTCGCGGATTAGGATGGGCAGGTCGGGGTTCGCCTTCTTCACTTCCACATAGCGTTTCTCGATGAAGTCCCTGCGGGGCCGGAGAAAGCGCCGCCCGTGCTGTCGGCGCTGACTTCCCTAACACCCGAGAGGTCGAGGTCATGACCCCGATGTCTCGAAGCCCTCCCGTCTCACCACGCCGCCCCTCACCTGACACCCTGGCTGCCGGGTGAGCGCTGGCATAAGTGGATGCGAATCTCACGCAGTCCCAGCTTTGTCCCGATTCCTCGACCTGCTGCGGCCGCCGCCATTTCCAAAATCACTGAGGGCGCAATTGCACACTTTCCAGCCAAGTTCTCCAGTCGGCCCAATGGCGGACTTTTCCTCCTCGGTTATAGGTTGGCTGACAGAGGGGCGGGGTAAAATTTAGCCAATGACATAAAAGTGTCATAGGGCAACTGGGAGGTTTTCCTGCGCACTGGGTAGGACCCAGGGGAGAGGCCGGAAGCGGAAAGGCTCGGAACGCAAAGCAGTGTGGGTTGAATTCTGAGGTGCACTGTGGGAAAGGCTGGACGGTGTAGTGTTGGCGGCTCGGTTCTCGGCGTTGAAAGACCGCGGGCAAAATGCCGGAGCGAGATAGTAAGGCTCCGGTCATCTGCCTTTTCTTCCTCGAGGCACTAGGGGCACTTAGCGTGTTATTTTAGCTTCTGAGCTTAAGCCTTGTATCTGTGTGTGTGACGCTAGGAACCCGGCGAAGCCGTTGGACCCCATATGAGGCCGGACAGCTCCAGTCTCGGTCCTCGAGCCTCATTCCTGCTTTAAGTGACGACCGGCGACTTTTGTCGGTGGATCCTTTACCCTACCCGTGTTTCCTTATACATAGTTCTGCGTTGCGCCTGCTTATTTTTCTTGTAGTACTTGAGATGCGATCCTCCAACTCAGATGTAGGGACCCCTCCTTTGTGTTCCCACAGCTCCTTGTGTTTTCCCATTTCAGCAGTTAACTGCGTGGAATTCACACTGCTGCTGTTCTTGCTTTTCTTCTATATTGTTTACTTCTGTATCCCCAATTTCTGCACAGAACCCGACACTAAAATGTCGAGACTGATTAAATTAATGTCAATTATTTTTGTCAGGTGAGCCGTTTTCCAATCCTTTGGCCCCAGATGGCCATGATGTGGATGATCCGCACTCCTTCCACCAGTGAGTATTTTGTCATAGGACATGGGAGTGAGCTAGGCAATGAATAGAGAGGTGGGGGGATGGTGAAAGAATTTTGAATGCCAGACTGCAAGGATAGGCGTAAAATAGTGCCAATAGCCCTTTATCTCTGTGAACCTTAACAGGGTCAGTCCAACTGCATGAGAGTATTAAAGGGGAAATTCTGGCAGGGAAGGCTCTAGTTTTTTATATGTGTTGTTTAATTGCACACTATGTAGGAATTCTTCCCATAGAGGAATTAAAAAAAGAAATAAGAATAAAGTTGGTTTTTTAATTATTATTTTTATTTTTTTTTATTGAATGGTAACTATGTACATTAATGCACTTCTGGGGTACGGTGTGGGGTTTTCACATACAATTTGAAACATTTCCATCAAACTGGTTAACATAGCTTTCATGTCATTTTCTTAGTTATTGTGTTAAAACGTTCATATTCTACTTTTAGAAAGATTCACTTGTACCCTTGTAAGATAAACCACAGAAGTGATCTCTCCAATCCCCCTCCCTCCACCCGTTTCCCCCTCCCTGCTCCTTCCCTCCTCCCTGTATTCTTGGGCTGTTACTAGGTTATAGCTTTCATATAAAAGGTATAAATTAATTTCATAATAGGGGTGTGTACATTGGATTAAAGTTGGTTTTGATAATATCTCCAGTTCCAGTTAATTTCTTAGAGGTAATCCTGCTACTTTTTCTTTCTTTTTTTTTTATTTTTCTTTGCCCTTGGTAGAGTGCAGTGGCATCATAGCTCACAGCAACCTCAAACTCTGCAAGGCAGGTGGATTGCTTGAGCTACTTTTTTATATATGTACTTTTCTTTTTTGATGCATTTATACATACATATGCATATTTGAGGAAAGCATCATTGCTTTGTGAGTTAAAAATATTTATGTTAAATGGTATTATTCTGTATGTATCATTTTGCAACTTTTTGTTTTTCTCGAGACGGCGGGGGTGGGGGGGGTGGGGGGGAGGGTGTCTCACTGTCACCTGGGCTAGAGTCCAGTGCCGTCAATCATAGCTCACTCACTGTGACCTCAGACTCCTAGGCTCAAGTGATCCTCCTGCCTCAGCCTTCCAAGTACCTGGGACTATAGATGCAGACCACCATGCCTAGCTAATTTTCCCTTTTTTTTTTTTTTAAGAGACGGGATCTCTTCTCAGGCTACTCTTGAGGTCCAGGCCTCAAGCAGTTCTCCTGCCTCAGCCTCCCTAAGTACTAGAATTAGGAACATGAGCCATCATGCCCATTCTGCAACTTTTTTTTTTTTTTACCCCACTCAGTATCTTGGAGGTTATTTTTGTAGTGGTGACAAAGACTCCTCTGTAGACCAAACTTTAGTGAGGTCCCTCAAAGAGTCTTTTTTTTTTTTTTGTAGTTTTTGGCCAGGGCTGGGTTTGAACCCACCACCTCTGGCATATGGGGCCCGTGCCCTACTCCTTTGAGCCATAGGCGCCTCCCAAAGAGTCTTATTTTCTTTTTTTTTGAGACAGAGCCTCAAGCTGTCCCCCTGGGTAGAGTGCTGTGGCATCACAGCTCACAGCAAACTCCAACTCCTGGGCTCATGCGAGTCTCCTGCCTCCGCCTCCCAAGTAACTGGGACCACAGTGCCTGGCTATTTTTT